CAGAGTGGAGAGGAAGTGGAGAGCTATCAAGTCGAGGAGTTGCATCAGTGGAAGGAAGGCAAGATGATAGAGATGAAAACAAAGATGAGTGAGTAATAGAGAGGTTTCGCGTGCGTTTCGGATTGTGAGGGCGATTGTTACTTCCCGGCTGCCCACACCGTGGAAGTTGGTTGCGTGACCGCAGAGCCCAGGGGACAACTGCTTGAGGCCGGTCACACGCGGCCTGTTTTTGTTTGTTCTTTTTGTTTTGTGTGCCTCAGTAGCATACTTATCACTCCTGCCCTGTGACACGGCAGCAGGAAGCGCGGTCGTTGTTAATCCGGGCCACGGCCGATCCGGCATGAAATTTTGTTATTTTGTATTAGTCATGATGTTGGATTGGGTAGCTGCTTTTTGTTTAACCGCTATCCAAACAACCTGCCTGGCATGGTAGGACCTCAAGAGACATAAGTCTCAACCAGTATAGCTTGAATAGATCATTGCGGTGTTCAAGCCCGACCACCATGTCAAGGTAGCAGCTTTCGGTCGGGTGAAAAAGAAAAGTACACAGAAAAGTACGTCAAAAAGGCCGAAGTTATATTAAAAATGATGAGTAGGAAGGTAGAAAGAAATACAGATCCAAAAACTGAGAAGTTTCCTTCAGAATCCTCTACAGTAAATAATGTTGTTTCACTGTGTGATATATCCAATAAACAAATTAATATGGAATTAGATACTACCACAGTGCCCAAGTTTTACACATATTAATTTCTGACTTGTTATAAACATTTTATCATCTTTTAGCTAATCTACCGTATTGACTACCTTCATGTCGCCACGAGTGTCGATGTGTGACACTTATTGATCAAGTGGATACAGAATTTTCACCTGGTAGGAAAACTGACTTCAAGTAAGTAGCGTATATGGGTTACAGCATGCGAAACAGCACATGAACCTGTCATGGTAACGGTGACTACAATAATCCATGCTCTGCTTCAACTTCAAGTTAAATACTGTAGTAGTAGTATTCTCTTATGACAACCATCTACTATTTGGACATCTGAAAAGAATTCTTAATCCTTAAAATCTTAATTACATGATCTCACAATTTATTAGTTATGCCACTTTGTGAACGACACACCAGCACTTCATATATTATCGTTATACTACTTTTGGGGTATCTTTTTCATTTCGATAATATCACTTAATTACGCCGTTTGCAACTTGCAATAATGTCCCACTAACAAACAATGAACTGATTTTCGACAGTTGAAGAGAGACAAGAAGCCTTGGAACTGGGTTTCACAGTTGTTTACACTTGTCGGAAAGAAGTATCTGCAAAATTTAAAAAACTAATATCTAGAGTGCTGTCATCAGAATCACTGCCACTGCACTATTCGGGCTCAGGAGTGGCCTCTAGTAGACATATGATGGATACATCAACCAGTCTTTACCAAGTTACTAATGTCATGCATTTTGTTACGAAGGTGATTGAGTCTTAGAACGATGAGTGATGCTTGAATCTTGAAAAGACGAATGAACCAAGAATTTAGGCTTTATTCATTTTACAATGAAGCCGGAATGGCTTAAACATATAAAGGAAAAAAGAGTGTTAATAGCGGTAGAGATATGAATATGACTAGATACGTATTATAAGAAAAGTTCACAACACATTCAGTTATTGCTGATCGACATCTGTCAGTCAAATTTGTAATGTCAACAGACTAGACAAATAAGCGAGACTAGTAGACTCCGGTCCACACCAAGACCAAGGATTCAACAGTGTAAAAACTGGATTCCCAAATATGGTTTGCAACCTTTTTAAGGCTCATTGGCTTATTTTAGAATATACAGCGTGTAGTTATGTACGTAGGCTACTTGTAAGTAACATTTAACAATGCCTGCATAACACCACTGGGTTCTGTTGATCTGATAAAAGTTATTCATGTAAACTCCACTTATAGCTACAATTTCCACTAACCGCTTATACACTACAGCTGATTCATGAAGAGCAATCCTACGTAAACTCATTTATATTTCTGCGCTTTCAATTTTAGTAGTGATGAAGTCTTTCACCAGGTGGGGGTGCTAGCCTTATCTAACCCCCATTCTATTTCGCTCTTAGGAACGCCAAGTTAAGCGAGATTGGTTTACCTGATAATGCAGGAAAAAGTATTCTTTGCAGACCTTAGTACTACAGGTAAGCAGTGTACAGAATCAGTCGCAAGATAGCTCATCCAAATTTGCGTATCTCATGAGCGGTGTCAACGCAAATTCCACAGGTTTTTCGATTCGACTATAACTCCAGTACAGTGATTTATGATAAATTAGTTCTACTAAACAAAGGTAGTACAGCTCTTGTGTTTCCGGGAAACATACAGATGTTGACTTGGGCAACAACGAAAGCTCTAAGCACCACACAACAGCTAACCATCCCAAGGCCAGTGGTATAGTGCGACAATTCTACTGATAGTCAATCAAGTACGACCATGAGTTAGCATAGTAAGCCAGTTTTAGTCCTCGTTAGCATTATAAATGTGTCATAAACTGACATTCGGTGCACTTATGCAAAAATGGTTTATGAAACCACATAAAAATCTCCAGGAGAATCTCTGTTCTCACACAAAATTTTTGAGGATAACTTTTCCATACCAATGGGTTCTTACAGATATAATTTGCATAGTGACACCGCATTATATTGAACACCACCTACATGGAATCGTGGTGATTAAGGGCATTCGCCATACCAACAGCAAGCAATAAAACTGCCAGAGCGAAATTCTAAAATGGTAAGCTGGATAGACTATTTAGGAATCATGTCGACTACAGTCTCACTGATCAGCCTACTTGGCGATAGTTATGTGGTTATTAATGGAATGGATAACTGGACTAGTTTAAAATGACCTTTACGTGCCAGTGTCATATGGCACTCGGCAACAAATTTATCTCGCTCATTTTTAAGATAGATTGGAAATTATCATCAGATAAACAACTAGATTGATGGTGAGCAAATAGGACAGGAAGTATACCAAGGCGTTGGAATGGCGCCTTAATAGTAAATGTATCTTAAAGTGGTCAACACAGTGTTGTCAGATACGTCAGAAATACTGGAGGCAGAGTGCAAAACACTTAAAAGATTAATTTTCCAACAGAAAGTTAGTTTTATTCCTCACCACAAATTTTTACTGCGCCGAATTTGCAGACGGTGTCATACCTAGCTTATTTCAATTGTGTGCAGTGATGCAGTTCACTTCGTCCCACTTCTAAGCTGCAACACTCGTTGAAAATTGAAGATATAAAAACATTTGCCTACGATATCCCTGCTTAATGTACAAGCATCAATGCTGATGATTAGGTCAGTAGCATCAGGTGAGAAAAGGTTAATTTAATTTTCCCCGCATTGTGATTTCATAACACCACCTTATGTGTATTCCTTCACGTTCCCAGTGGAACATAGGGTTTCAAGCTAGGGACTTGAAGTTTCTGTAGCAGTGGTGTTTATCTTACGAGATAGGGTTTCTAGCCGCATACCAACCTTCTCTCTTCACCAGTCTTATTACTGGCTTAGCGAAGTAAAGGAGTGCGTCGGTCAACGATCGAACCCCGGATCACATGCGTGGTTGGAGAGCATTCTGCCACTGTACTACCAATGCATGTATATGATTTGTACTTTTTTAGTCTAAAAACTACTGTTGAGAGAACGATGTGTACCTACGATCACATACACCCATGTTGTTAGAAGTAATCTAAAATCCTGTCCCAGTGTTTGCATGAGCGCCGGTTTTGCGACGACTGTAAAGAACAACCACTTATCCTAAGTCAGTAACATACAACAACCTGGATCACACTGTCAGATGTCAAGTTTTATCACAGTTTTGGGTCCGACTTTTTCTAAAGAAGATGTTCATGGGGTGGATTTTGGGCTACCGCTGACCCACAAAGATCACTTGTATTTGACGTCGAAACATTAAGAAAGTGCTTTCATAGGGTATGCATAAATTGCAAAGTCACTTAACAAGTACCTGAGTAATTCAGTTTTAAAGAAAGATATACTAGGGATTACACAGTACATACCCAGTTTTCTTAACATAACTGGGGGGACACCGAGAACCAGTGGGGTCATACGATAGATAACCTTGATTCAATTAATGGTTTATTAGGTGTGTCATGCGTCTGCCACCAATACACTAACGACCTTCATTTAAGTAGGTATAATGCCGAACAATGCTAGGTAACTTGTGCCATTCCTGCTGACAAGAAGCAGTACAACCTTACAGCCAGTGAAAATGTTGGAGATCATACGTCGATATTCACGAGATGAATATCGATACAAACACCTCTGCAGTACAATTTTTAATGAATTCAGTCAGTTCGATCAGTCTAGTGTGCAATAAGTTTGCACAGGTGTGAACTCGTCTAGACAATCTGCTAGTGTGCGAATTCGCCTGAAGATGGGACCGAGAAAACGAGCTTAGGTGTGATGAATACACACACGACACAATGTAATCACGTGAATACAATGCATGTAAGCAGGAAGTCATCTGAAAATATGACGGCCTTAATTTAACTCTGTTAACAACCACTATTCCTTAATCCTAACACCACACACGTAAAAATCTATGGTTGGAAACATTTGGTGACATGGCTCAAAATCGTTGTCAGTGGCGCAGATGCATCCACTCCTTGTGACTTATGATTTCCAATGAAACTGTTTTGTTCTTCGTTATTACTTCTTTGTCTCACCCCTCTGCTCACTGTCTCTATTATGCTTTCCTTGTACTTTCTTCTCTTGCTTCGCGTGCTACACGGAGTGTGGCGACTTGAACTTCCGCACATTTGTGCAAAGTTCTGTCGGAAACAGACAGACCACACACTAGACATGAGCATACACGACATTAAAGCATGAGTCAAACCAATTACAGTATGTAAGGTCACACTGAAGTAAGCAAATTTCGCTAACTAACACCAGGATAAGTCACTCCAAATAATAACAGATGACGTGGGAAAATGTAAAAACTCACTTGTTAGGATAGTGTCTATCTTAACTATGCTTTTTCTTATGTCCACGTTCGTAACATTGTCGACTATGATGTCCAGCCACAGGTAGATAACAGACACAATGAGTGACATAGAGGACAGGAACAAACTGTATCCACAAGACCCCTGATCTTCATTAAATAAACAAATCCCGTAAACGTAACAACAATTATGCACAATCCCGATGACGACTGTCGCTAATACCTATAAGGATCTTCCATTACAGCAAAAGGAATTCATTTACCATACAACTTAAACGAAGTAAAACTTGCGGTTTCCTAACATAGTCGAAAAACTCTAGTCTGGTCGTACTGTAAATCCAGTCGACCGAAAACATGTCTACTTCAAGGCCGAAGACTAACCGCTCTTTATTTGACATAGTAAAGTATGCAAACAAAAACATGTGGAACAGCAAACATCTTATTCGAGTGAAAAATAAGGTCAGTTGATGTGAAAGCAGAGCAAAAGGCAGGTATTTCAAACGAGAATCTCCCAAAAGGCTGAATATGACTGCAATACCAGATATCCCAAACACAAGCCCATGTTTGATAAGTCGCATGAGCATCTACACTTCTTCCTTAGGCAGTCTAAGGTCTTAAATGAAGCAAAAGCAAATGTTTGTGCAGTATATTAATAAGCCACCAGTTTTACTGTCGGATTCTCTTCAATTGCATAAAACGTAAGGTTTGCTTATGTAGATATACATAGAATTTTTTCACACCTAGCTTTTGTTAACAGAGATTATTGTTAATTAACAGTGTTCAGGATTTTCACTCATTTAACGTATGAAGGATATCAAGTTTCAGACAAAATGCAAACCTGCAAACTTTATGGTCGGACACACGGAACACTGAGACGCACAGTCGGGAAAATAGGAGAGGAATTGATTAGTACTACTAACGATTGGTGACCTAACGTTGATGATGAGCGTTGATGATGGCAGTGAGCTTAGCTCAAGCCACAGAAACAGAAAAGAAGTGAATTTGTCAAGTAACAAATATGAAGGGAGGTTAAAGGCATTAGATTATGTAATCTATTGGGATGAAGAGATTAAAAGTTGGGGCACCCAACGTTATTAGTCCTAGGCAATTCCTCTCTCATTGTCCCGACTGTGCGACTCAATGTACCACACCATTCTTCACTGAAAACTGGATGCTAACCCCCAATGATTTCGTAGATTTATTTACCTGAAGACTCAGGGTCAATCATCCACGCCACTAGGCATTCAGTCATGTTACGTTCGTCTGTTCGTACACGAAGCCTAACCCGTTAATCAATCATACTCGCGATCCGATCTAGTACCGAAATATAATTCGTAATTTGAACTACCAATTCTGCAGTTTAGCTTCGCCTTTCGTTACACTAAACAAATATTCCACAAGTTGTGATTATTAATTCGTGCGTTTGTATGAATCATCCTCTCCTCTAAATTCCACACCATTAGCCTATAAACTCCGCTAGAACCCATAGGTCAAAGCTCTAGCTTAAAGCCCTAAGTTCCACTGGGAACGTAAAGGAACAAAACGAATTTTGTTTAAATCTGGTAAAGTATGACTCTGGTGAGTACTGAAAAAGCTTACGATCTGCTGATTCGCAAGCTTTTACTCATCACTGGAAAAAGGGCTATCATCAAAAGCAGCTTATGCCAATACATGAGGTGACCAATCCTCAGTGGTGTTGTCAATTCATAAAATGAACTCACTGACTCCATAGAATCGACATTCAACAATATATCGTGCATTCGTGGAAGGAGGAAAAGAAAAGATGGATGATATTGTGAGGCTGATGAAGGACACTGTTAACCAAGCTTTGAACGACACTGCTAGTATCCTACACACTATCCCTGGAATAGAGAAATCTAAGTGCAAAACGCAATCGTTTATGACGAAAGGGTCTCAGAGAAGTGGATATCGAGAAAGCTTTATGGTGTCTAGTAATCCACGGAAACTTAATGAGTGTGACAGCTTTCGCGAGATGTCCCCAACAGATAGGTTACAAGTTGCGGGACAAACATGGTTGTTTTTCGTCCGTTTGCAAGAAGAGCATACAAAAGCGAACTGGAAAGCAGTGAGCAAGTTTAGTATTAAGCTAAATGTGAAGTCAGCGTCATGCGGTAAAGAAGCCTGTAGTTGCAACTCCTAAACCATTGTTGAATAGAGTGCCACAGACAACACCGCAGTTTGTGCAGAAGAAGAGAGTCACAGTTTCAGAGTTCAGTTCTGACTTCACAAGTTTACAAGGTACTACCAGTCGGAATAAAGGTATAAAACATTTAAGGATTTGTGAGGAAGAACCCAAATCATCCACTGCTGTTATTAAAGAGTTTGAAAATGATGAAGTCGACCAGATAGACGAAGGTCGATCATGATAGTGCACATTTGTCTTTGGTTGATCATGATGAGATGAGAGGAATGCCTACTACTACTGAGTTGAACAAAGGTTCTGTACAACTTGAATGTGAAGTAGAATTAAGAGCGAATGCGGTGGTAGAAGGTATGGATACTAATGAGACCATCAGTGTAAATGGTCAGCGTGTAGCCCACCTATCAACAGATGCTAGTGCTAAACCGCAGCTAATCATAAAAGATAGCAGTGGGGGTAATCCTACGGCTAGACAAACCTCTAAGTTTCGAACGACAACTTCTGACGCGACGCTAAGTTCATCAACTTGTATCATTCGGTCGTCGTTGGTGTTGTCATCCACAATGAAAGGGACGTCCATGAACTCAGGTGTCTTGTGCTGTGACTATGCAAGTATCGGTCCGTTTGAAAGGACGAATGTCAATGGTCAGTTTATTCATGATAAGCCAATTGTGACTAGCACGAATAAAGCCATTTCAAGTTTCAAGTTACTATTTGAATGTTATTATCGTTGGTGTAAATTACTCTGCGCGTACGCTTGGTTGGCCAGATACGTCGTATGTTTGTTAGTCATCTACATTCCACGATACTATGACATGGGCGTGTCACCGTTCAGAGTTGTGTGTAAAGATGATGGAAGGAGCTTCGAAAATGATGGAATGTAGGCATACTGCTGTAAGTCCTACAGTTCTTCAAGGGTAGTTCGTCAAGGCAGAATCCACAACATCTGATTTATTGATTGTACACATATTTGTGTTAAGTAACTGTGTGGGTTTCGATTCATTTAGTTGTTGGTTTATTTTATAGTTGTCGCATTGTGCGAGTCATCTTGTAATGTTATTGTAAGTACTTCTCAAGTCGTTTCTAACCTTCTAAGCTTGTGAACGAATCGAGTATTGTTGGAGTCAGTGTATGCGATTCGATACGCCGGGGAGGGGATTGTTCCAGAGTAATATGAAGCAGCCAACACCCCGCGGACCAGATCAGTCGTGGCACTTCCGACAGAGTGAAGGAAAGTTCGGATCACTGAGGAAGATCCCACACGCCGGGGAGAGCGTACTGGTGTGATGTGGTATGATTGTTGTGTGTTGGGCGTTATGTCTCGCTTTTCCATTTTAACCTAGTCACTGTTCGCCCAGGTTCCCACGTGGTCTCTTCAGTTCAAGGCTATCGGCACATAGAAAAAAGGGATGGAGGGTTTTTGACGAGGAGTGCCAACGAAAGTGAACATTGAACGTTGGTTCATTGGGCTTAGCCGCCATTGGTGGGTGACTCGAAGGCGCGAATGGTTCGATCGTGAACAAGTTCGGCGAAGACGAGCGAAAACGAATAAAAACTTGTATTATTCTCTGCTTTAATTGCCAAACAATATAACTTCCCTCTTACAATACTGGTGTTTTGGATTTAAAGTCAAAGAAGCTACATAGTATTTATTGGTTCGGCTCGTCTTCGTAACAACAGCAAGTTTGGAATACTTTCCTTGAAAAACCTAGAAAAAATTCTAATCGAAAAAAAATTTCCTCATTGAATCTTCCGGTTTTCTAAATAATAAATAAATACTCATCATCATATTACAAATAATATCTCGTTTCAATATTTTTAACCCATTATAATATGACCTACAATCCTTCGTACACACTCGCGAATGTTTAAAATGCTTAAAAAGTGAAGATCCACAAACTTCCAGAAAACCTAAGAAAAAGAATCATGTTGGGCTGCAACGTGGTTAAAATCATGACCCTGTACACCAGACGATCGCTCCTGAGATCATGAAAACAAACTATAGCTCCCTGCCACGCAAAATTAACTCTCTGCAATCCCTCGTGTCATCCAATGTATACCGCAATGCAGGGATTACAACTCTTCGCTAAACCTGGCTCCATGACCTATATGATGATAATTTAGACTGTCCAAATGGTTTTGGATTACTCGGAGAAGATGGGCGTAGCTCTAGGGGGGATTGTGGCAGTGGCATTGCAACCTTCATCAATTCTCGGCGATGAACGTCAAAACAATGTATGTTTTAGACTCTCTAGTAGCAAATTTCACTGCCTCAATGTTACATGTTGACCGAAATGCCTGCTCAAGTATAACTGCATACACATTTCAAACATCCATATTACACATGGATGTAGTCTCTCAGAAATACCCTCATTTGCTGATGAGTTCACTTGCAACTCCCTATCAATAGTTACTGCTGAATTCAATTCTTGTGACTTCAGTTTCCTTACATCGTGGGGTTATGAAAATATTGTCAACACGGCTAGAAAATGATCCCGGTCTGGTGTTTGCAATGACTTCGGCATCTTTGGAGCTCATAAAAGACTCCACTACTTAATTCTGATCACTGCATCATACGCATATTGCCCAAAATATGTGGGCAGCTGTACAAAAGAGTCTTCTTGCACTTTTGGCAAGAAAATACAACATAGACGTCACTCCCACGATAATATATAGGATCTAAGGAGAATGTTGAAAGATAGCGGTTGGGACTTATTTACTGAACAAGTTCCAGATCACACAACCAAAAAGGTAACACGTTACCACAAATACTGCCGTGATGTTTGTTGTACAATAGGGACACTCTTAAAATTTAAACGCTTCTCCCCTTCTCAGCTCAGAAAGCATGGCCGAGAATAAAAGGGGCTATACAAAATAAAGGACAGTCCTGGTGTTGAGAGACTAAGCAATGCATCTAATCAGGGTATTATCTAAACGATTGATCGAATGCTGTCGTAGACCTTTTCGGAGATGTGCTGACCTGTTTTATATTTTTAATCAATCAGTGAGCTCCATTTCAGTCATTTATGCTTGGTCTTTGCCCTTGTCAGGTGCAGCGAAAATGTGGTTGGCTAAGAGATTTGCCAATATTATATCAAATATTCCTTCCTACCCTCTGCGAATATGCTAGTACCTATCAAGCCTCGTGATCATCAATTCCTTGTTGAATCACAGCTGATTGAGTTGTTCATCGTGTCCTTTAATCGATAGATTATTGCGCTTAGACTTTGCATTGAG